GAATCAGAATTTAAGCAAAGTTCTAGATCATTTGTTTGCTGACTTTGCTAGAGGACAGCTCAGGTAGAAGAGAACCTTTATTGATGCTAGAAAATTCCTTTGAGTCTTTCATATTTATAAAAACATACTCATATGTGTTTCTATATTTATTAAGGTGAATAAGCATGCTTGATGTATATTTACACCATATATATTATAAAATAATGTACTGTTGGTAATACAGAATGAATATCTAATTATATAGGACAACATATTTATCATTAGTTTCCTTTTTGATGCATGACTGCTAACATGAAAATACATTTCTAATTATAACTTTGGAATTCTAATTATAAATTTGGCATATTTAAATTATTTTCCTTTTTGCACTAGGGATATTTTTGAATTTTAATATTCCATTTTATAAGATATTAGCCAAAGGTCTAAGATTGCTCACATCACTACAGGGGGGCATAATATAAAAACAGAGAGAAAGACTGTGACTTTTTAATATGTGGATTTGGTAAAGTAATGCCTTAATTGCTGCTATCATAGTAGTCAAGAAGCAGTTATTGTTGATTATCTAAAAATTACTTAAGAAATTTCCATTAATATCACAGTTTAAAAGCTTTTCTGAAAGAAATAGTTTAGCTTCTTTTGTGAACATGGTGAATATTTTATAGTTTGTTATAGAAAACAGCATGCACATTTTCAACAAGAGAGTGTCCTTCCCATAACACCTCGAATTACATATTCAATTTAAAATGTAACCATGACATTCAGGCTTCATTTGCTGTTGGTGTCAATCTAAAAAAATATAAATTGATGCAGACAGAAAATTCTAATCTGATGCCCTAGGGCCAGACCCAATAGAACACTTAGGCATCTAAATTTGGTCTTAAAGCAACTAACTTTTAGGTGTTTGTCCCCCAGAAGGGAATCTTGGGCTGAAGTGAGCTGGGTTTTACACTCCTGTATGGTGCATAGGGTAGATATTGCTGGGCAGGTACCAGACAGAGGGTGTTTATGAGTGGCCACTGCTTCCAACATCACTTAATATTACCCAAGCCAGGTTATTGAAACTGGGACCTAGTGAAGTTAACAAGTAGAACTATGGTCTCTCTAAAGTCAACACAAAATAATATGCAGCTATCTGGAGCTAGTAAATAAAGAAAGTCTGGGAACAGGACTGAGCTATAAATTCCCCTTTGCAGACTCTGTACAGCCAGTCTTTGGGTCAAACGAATGATGCTAAAATATACTTCACTCGTTTACACAAAGCACAGTGATTACGGATACTGCCCAGGAAATGCGTCACAAGTTAAATTCTCTCTTCTGCCTACAGGGAGTTAGGATCCACACCTCCAAGTGTGTGTGTGTGTGTGTAACTCGCAAGCCATTGATTATTTTGAAATCTTTTTTTTAAACACTTCAGAACAATGAGCAAGAAAAGGATCGTGATTCAGCAGTCTAGACCTTAGGTTCTCTGCTACTTCCTCCTTCCTATGCTACTTCCAGATTTAACAGACATCAATGATAGCTGAATGAGTATTCAGCCCCCATAGAAAACATCAAAAATACACTTCCCACAACTTCAGACTGAGAGATCTGCAGGACCTCAGACAACAGCTGAGCAGGGTAAGTGATAAAATACACCTCAGCAAAAACTGAGGGACACTCTAGAGCAAACTCTTTGGCTCATAGAAACTTTACTGGACCTGAAAAGACTCACAGCCTTAATTTTAAAGTAAAAAACTGAATGGATTTTTTTTCTAATATGGATTCATGTAAGTCCTTTTTGTGAAATTTTACCTAATAAAACCAAATATGCATGATCAAGTAGTCCATAATTACAGGTTACACAATTAGGTACTTGGTTTCGATGATGGCTGGCAAGTACTTGAACTAACATTGTGTACTTGAACTTACCTGTTTCTTCCCAGGGTCATTTGCAGTTCTATTGCCTGCTTTCAGTAAAGTTGGAAAATACGCTATCCTCTAATAAGGAAAAAATCCTGGAGCTCTAGGGTAATTGACTTCTCTGCTTACACAAATGACATCTTAAATTACGTATGAAATGTGGGGCAGAAGTGCTCTGCAGTGTCTCCTTCAGTCCCTCCACAACATAACCCTTAGCAAATCTAAGGTTTCCTCTCATGGAACCCAGGCAGTGGGTGGAACTTCAGATGTGTACATTGGGTCTCGCCCCAACACCTCATCCTAGGATGTGGACAAGTTGCACATCTGGAGCCAGCAGCTGGAAAATGTTCCCAATACCCATGGTTTACACATGGTCTTTGAGAACAGAAACTCTTCCTGTTTTCCTGCATCAAATATTGACCCAGAGCCCGATGTAAACTTTCCATTTTTAATAGGCAGCGAATCAGATCCATAGAACCTAATTTGATTCTTGGTGGGATAATGACAACCTGAGTCCAATGGAAGCTGAGGTCACTCAAGGCTCTGCATACCAGAGCCTGAGAACAGATTTTGAAGACAGTCTAAAGGCAAATAAAAACAAAACAAAACAAACCTGCACATGAGATTTACTGGTAGTTTCAACAGACCCAGTAAAATAAACTCATTTTTGACACTAATAAAAGATCGGCTGAATTTTGAATAGAAATGCAATATGATCTTTGAAAAACTGAATACCCTCAAACTGTTATTAAGTTTGCAAGTGCCCATGAACTGTTTCTAAATATATTACACTATGTTGTGTGGACCAGGTAAATTACCTCCTTTGTTTATGTTTATAACAGATAAATGGTATTTCCTCTCCTGTATCCAACTCATAGATCAGGTCACACAAATGATTTGCCCCTCTAACATATACTAAGTCTTTTCAAAATTTGGTGTGTTGATCAGTTGTCTCTGTTATAACTTTGTTCCCCCTTTAAATTATCTTTTGACTGTAAATAAACTTTCCCTAATCAGAGACTACTTCAGAGATTTTGGTCTTTTCTTTTTTTTAATGGAAGAGGGGACAAGAAGAGAAAAGACAGGGCCGCCTTTACCTGGCAGGATTTCCCAGGTTCTCCCAGGTTCAATTAAAAGCCAGTTGAGCTGCAGCTGATAGATTTCTGCCAACAAAAGTGGCTTAGAAGAAAACACAATCATGTTTAAATGCTTCATGATGCTTATTCAGAACTTTTCTTTTCCTCTCTTCCTTTTTCATTTGAATCAGATGATGAAAGTGATGGGGTTTCAACAATAAGAGTACCACGATCTACATATTTTTGTTTGCCTTTTTAAATATGATTGCATTCTGACTGATTTGCAGTGGTAAGGCACCATTTGGAAATCTGATTGCAAGCTCACAGTGACAGAAGTACATAATTACTATCTCCACAAATATCTATAAGTTAAATCACTTGTTTTAATACAGATTAGATTAGTATTAAACTTCCAAGATTGGTATGAGAGACATGATAAATGTAGTCATGACAGAAAAAAAATTTTAATTTAGTATACCCTATCAATCTAGATAGCCCATGAATATTTACCATTAATTCAGTAGGCTGGAACAGAGGGGGGGAAAAAAAGAACAAAAAAATAGAAGGTTTGACCTAAACAAGGACTGACGAAAAAAAAGAATCCTCAGCAGTTTTACTGAGAACAGTTCATGCAAAAACGTGAACTGGCAACAGATTGGAAAATAAATTTGGGGTACCATTATAAACAAAGCTTTTAAAAACCTGAACGACATACAAAAATAGTAGCAATTCTTAAAATCTCTTTCTCTTTGCAGGATTTACCAGTCTGATTATACTTAAATGAGTAACTTCAAAGACTGAAATAAAATCATTTATGGAAATTCAAAACAAACCTATTTGATCACATCATACTTCACAGCAGGGATACAATTTGCAGGGGCTGAGTAAGGGCATAGTATAAGCTAAAACAGGTTGTGTGTGCAATGAACCAAACTAAATGGTTTATATAAAAGAAATGTTGTTTCCATTAATTTTTCTGGTAATCCTATTAAAAATGCCACCTGTCCAGAACAGAATTGTCCAGATTTTAATTCTTTTTCAAATCTCAGTGTTCAAGCACAAGACAGAGAAGGTATCATCTTATAGCTATTAATATATGGCACAAAATGTCTTATTCTGAAATCTTCATTACTGCAGCAGTAGTTTCTCTGACTCTGTTTCAATGTCTGGCTATTATACCTTTTACTTTTCCTCTCATTGTGCTCTAAGAACTGATTTTTCTGATAAGTCCAAAGATTATTTTTTCAAAGAATATGTCATATTTCTTACCTCTCTTTAACCAAAATATTTCTAGCCTATAATATTTAAAATTCATATATATTAAGTAAATATAACATGAAATGTACCTTTTAAAATCCCCCCACTACCCCTCCAAAACCCTCTATAACAACCCTGAGCAGGAACTTAACTTTGAATACCAACAGAGATGAAATGGTGTCATAATCAGCATAAGTGCATGTGGACTATTCACCTAGATCAAACACTTTGGTCATCTAGTCAATTAAATTTAAATCCCATTATATAATGTGTACCAGCCTCATTTTATGCAATTCCCTAATTTAATGGCTTGGTATTAGCCTTTTTCCTTTTTGCACACATGGACTAATTTTCACGGTGCTCAGTCCCTTTGGGAAGTAGGTCATTAAAGTCAGCTGGATGGAGACAGAAACTTAATACCTAAAGAGTGTTGTAGAAGGGTCAGAGACACAATAGTAATATAAAACTGTTTTTCACTCATCCTTCTTTGTAATATTTATGAAATTCCTCCCTCGTATAAATACTGTTCATTAATCTCAAGGACCACAAAGTCGAAGAACCAAGAAAGCTATCATCCTATTATAATTTAATTTGTGAAACAAAAAAACAAATTAAAAATATAAAAATCACAATCACAATACCATTTAGCTGTTGAGAGAGTACTTGTTTTACACTGAAACAGAATAGTGTATAAGAAAGCAGAATGATAATATTATAGAATAAAGTAGAATAAAGTAGAATAAAGTAGAATCATAATATTCAGATTACCTTTCTCAATGTGTATTCTTTTTGTCTCATGTCCCACGTCATGACCAGCCAGATCACCCTCCTTAGGTCCAGGCAAGACATTAGGTGACAAACCCATCAGCATTTGGTTCATAGATAGCCCATTCTGATGGACAGCTGGTAGACACAAGCACAGGCAGAAAGAAAATCGGCCATCATATTAACAATACACTCTTCTACTTATTTTATATGCTCTTCCTCTTAATTATACAAGAATTCTAACAATCACAAAGTTACTTAATTATTGCTATCAGTATCCACACAGCAGGAGAGCACCTTCCTGTTAGTTCTGGTTTAAAACAACGCATTTTAAAAAGAAGAGTTCAGTATCTTAAGACAAAGTTAGATATTTGAAAACATTTTCTTGTTTATTTAACAAGAACAGAAATGCAAAATGAAGCAAACCAGAAAAGCATGGAAGGTTCTACGTGAGATACTTACTGATTTTTTTTTTTATTAGTTGTATAGGAACTCTTGTATATTAATGTTCCCAATATTCAGTTCCTAACTTACTTAAATTAAGCAGTGTGGCCTTCCAGGTGATAAACACTGTTTTTCAAAATACACCATGCAACAGCAGAGTTGCTTATTTGCTCATCAGATACCTTGAAAAGCTCATTCCAACAGTTCTCAAACAGACCTCCATGAGTCTCAAACACACCTCAGAAACCCGTATAAGGTAGTTTGTAGCCCTCTGCTTTTACCCTGAAAAATCATATTTGCAAGAAGCTTATGCCATTTTCAATGAAGCATATTTTCATATGTAACCCATATTTCTGTAGTAGTCATCTTACTCTTGCTGGCACCACAAAAGCAGATGTACTTAAGAATCAAGTGTGATATTAACAAATCAGATAGGAGAAAGAAGAGTTATTTTACAAATAAGTAAGTTACTGAAGTGATCCAGTATTTAAGGAACTCTGTTATGTTCACATTGGAAGAACAACATGCAAAGGTCCCACTCCTCTCTGCTGGTAAGTAAGCAGAGTAATCTGAATAGTACCATTTCTTCTAAAAAAATTGTAATTCCTTAGCAAAAACAATAAGTAGCTCTCAATTTAATTAACTTTTTTATTTAGAGAACAATAGAAAAGGTCATCAACGGTTGTAAAAAAAACCCACTATTCAATAAATTAAAAAAAAAATTTAAAAACACAGGGTTGTGAGTTTTTCTTCCAGAACTTTAGTTATGAACTCATAAAAACCTCGGGAAACAGATAGGTCACAGTATATGGGATGCCAGTTTAATCTGCACTTTGAATCATCCAAGTGATAAGAAAACAGAATTTTCAGCTTGTCATGGTCAAGTCTCATTTATTTTCTTTGGTAAGTCATTTTTCATCACATAGTAATGAAAGATCTTTCATCTGAAGGTCAATGAAGAGTCAGCTTCCTGAGTCTGCGGAGAGCCTGAAAAGAAGTAGTCTAAAAAGATGCATGTGCTGCATCTAATCAACATGTGTATTTTGTATAGCTATTTCACAGCTTTCTGTCTGCATGCCAAATCCTCCATTTTCACATACTAACAAATTCCACTGTGGAAAGACACCTTAAAAACACAAAAACCTGCACAGAGAAATAATAAAAGGAATGGACAAGTGTAATATGAATTTAAGTAAATAACCATAAAACAATATGTGTTTAAAACCTTAATTTCCAGACTGTTGCACTGGAATATCATAGAATTCAGGGTCTTTGCCATGTAATTTACATCCTGTACATTGAGCCTTGATAAAGATGGTATTACCCTGAAACACCACGGTTTAATTTCACTCCACCCCTCGTGAGCTATGAAGTAATAATACTCTCTGAATCATATTTCTCACCTTTGCAATTTTTTCTATTTAAAAATTTTTTAAAGTATGAACATTTTTAATTGATTTAACCTAATTCTTCTCTTTACCAAGCAATCCTACCATGTAAAATGTTGTTTATGAAGTCAGATTCAATTTAAAAATCAAACCAGAGTAACCAGATTAAATAAAACTCCATTTCTTTTAAAAAATGTTTACACTATATGTTCCGTTCTAAAACTAATCTAGCAAATTGCTTCCCAGCTGCAATTCTGTATTTCATAGCTCATATCTTTATGTTTAATATGACATGATGGCAGTTTATATCAGTACCCGTTAATGTAGCATCAGATATTATGATACTGTAAACTGGGGAACATAATGTTGGGAGATAGTTATTGCAGCTGAACTTCCAAACATGATACATATGAGATCTGTTTAAGACGAAGGCATTTTGATTAGAAAAACCAGCTGCACCTAATCAAATTTAAAGTGGTGACAAGGAAAAAAATGTGACCTACGGATTCTGTCTGAAGAGCTCTCGGTCCGTGCCGGAGAGCTGGACACACTGCTGCTTCGATGAGAGGATGGATGGCTGCCAGGTCTTCGGCCCTCTTCAAGAGAAGGAGCAGGAGAAGGGCTGTCTGGAACACGTTCCTAGACCCCACAAAAAATAATTGCAAAAAAAGGTAATGTTAAACTAAGTCTCTGTGGTTTCCAAATATCAGTATGCTAAACTGAATCTCTGTCCTAAATCACAACGTATTCTTTTCTCTGTTAAGGTTTGCAGAGTGTTCTCAAAGGAAACTTAGCAATTTTAGGACATTAGACCTTACATTTGAGTATGCAACATGAGCACTGCTCATCCTGTCAGGCTTTTAAATTGTCTTCTGGACTACTTATAAAAATAAGGGGTTTCTTTTCCTTTTGGGATTTATTTTCCCTGTTTGTATCAACAAGCTGTTGAATTGGAAATACCATTTTGTTTACTTGCTTATAGACATTAGCCTTACAGGATGAGAAATTATGTACTTCTGTAAATAAATAAAAACTAGACACTGTTGTTTTAGGTTATGCTGAATTTCACTCCACATCTTAATTTCAAAGGGGCTTCTTGAGCAATGAGATCTTATAGAACTGCTATGGATCATCAAGAAAATATAATCTCCCTCCTGAACCTATACTTATAACATGGCTGATGAAAGTCCGAATGTCTGCTTATACCATGGAGCACCAACCTGGAATGAAACAGACTTTTTTGAAGAGTGTGTCCATATCACTACTTCAAAATGGGGAAAAATGCCCGTTCATGTTTTTCGATCCAGGGAGAAGCCGGGCATAGCAGCCAGGAGGGGCTACGATGCACTTCAAGATCTTCCTTGATTTTGAAAATTAGAGCATGAGGACTGTGATGGTTTGAACAGCACTTCTGCTACGTGAGAACCATCAGTATGTAGCAGATAGATATATCTAATATTTACACAGAACTTTGACAGAAACAATAAACAAAGGGAGCTGAGTGCAGAATAGTCCTTTCTAGAAAATTCTGTGTCTTTGCCATTTCCTTTTTATTGCTAATAGCTCCCAAGACTCTATGTCACTGCTAAAATATGTCTGCGTTAGGTTGGTTTGGTCAAATAGTGATAAAAATAAATAGTTCCTATAAGGGAAATGTGTTGGAGGGACTGAAAATATTAAACTAGGGTTTTTTTGTTGTTGGGTGTTTTTTCGTTTTGATAATTGAAAACCTGACTCAATGAAAAAAAAACCAACAACCCAAACCAAAAATAACAAACAAAAATGTATACATTCAAGTCAATAAAAGCTTTTGGTAATGAAATAATACAATTAGTATGTATTTAATGAAAATTTGCTGCTGAAAATGGCTAAAAGTTTTCCTGAAAAGGGCATCACATTCCTCACACCACAAACTGCTTTTGTAGCAGTTATTATTTTTCATGCACAGTAGCTAGGCGAATATTTATTTCACTGAATGCATTCCTATGAAACTAGCAACATGATCATCTACAGGAATCGATAGATTCTTCCAGGTAAGCTTTATAATAAATATTTGCTAAACTTGAGATTCTGACTGGAAAGGGATTCAATGTGCCTATTAATGGAGCAGGAGAAGACCTTTCAGAGCAGTGTTTCAAGACATTTAAGTGGATTCCACTTTAATGGTCTCGGGTTTTTAAGTCAAAAACATTGATGAGGATAGTTTAACTGCATCATAGCTTTAGGCTTATTATGACTTTGATTGTGTTTATATGTCCATGAACTGGGTATTCAAGAGGAGGATTATAATGCAGATGTTTCCAGAATGTAGTAGATTTATTTCTTTAGATTTAGGAGGATTTAAGCATGCACAGCGTACAGATTTGGTATAAATTGGAACATGCTATATTTAATCATTCATTTAATATATAATTTCACTGTTTGGCATACAATGTATTGTTCTTAGAAGGGTTTCATTAAAATGAAATCCAGTGAGCACATAAGATTTGAATACAGAGCTGCAGAGTAAATTAATTTATTTAAACAGCTTAATTTGTTTATCCTATTTATTTATGTGCACTTTTACAGCACGTATTATAAGATGGAGAGAGCAAAAGGAATGCACAGGACAACAAAATATAATTACTGCACAAACAAAACAGATAATTAATTTTGTTCACATATAATATGACGTAGCAGACAAACTCTACAAGAAAACTATATATACTGGCTTTATCAATTCACACCCAGTGCCCCAACAAAACATGGGATTGAACCATGCAGAAATAGAAAAGAAATTAATTTAATACCTTAACACGTTTTTTATATCCTTGCCTCATACTTCCAGAATCAATAATAGCAATAATAGCTAGTCTATAGCAATTTTTTGTATTTATCAAAACTAGCTGCAATAATAAATGGAAATGCTACTTATAATAAATTGAAATACTCTGTAGCTCTAAAAAGTCATAGTGATAAACTAATGGTGCTGGAATATCAATATAAGCTGTCTCCCTTACTACAGATTTTGTGTAGAAAAGATGGATTTTGTCTGTTTTGTCTATTAACTTTAGATTTAGACCTCTCTTTGAAATTTTTTAAAAAAGGAAATCTGCAAAAATGTGCTCAGTAAATAACTCAGATGGTCAGAGCTATTTTGTAACTTCTGCAAAATACCACTTTTGTACAAGTAAGTCTACATGACACAGCAGAGAAACAGGATTTACTGTGTTATAATCCTAACAATAGAAACCACCTGTTATACTGTCCACTGTCCAGCATTTTTCCTAAAACTTGTCCACTCCCAGGACAAACTCAATTCCACTTAATTAAAGATATCTCTAGAGAACCTGGTGTTGGCTTGTACTGTAATGAGGTTCATTGTCACCCAACAAACAAACAACAAATAAATAATTACATAAATAGAATCTGAGTAACTTTGCTAAAATTAAGTATGAGGCAGAAGCTGTGCAGGGTTCAGTTTGAAACCAACACATCTGATTGTAAGTTTCTAAATGCAGTTTTGATGCATGAGCTAGAGATGAAACTTTGGACACCTGTAATTAGGATACCACATGAAGGGGCCCACCTTGGAGGTAAGTGTCTCCCATTTCAGTCAATTGAGTCGTTGACAATAAAGTCAATGGAGCCTCCTCCAAAACTAGATATCAATGGCTCAATTCAGCTACTCACATTTGAGCCATTTGAGCTGCTGAAAGGTTTTGAGATGTCCACACCAGGTCCACCAGACAGGACCTAAAGAAGATGTGCTGCCTCACTAACATAATCCTCACTAGCCACCTTTTTTCTTCATTTTTTGCTTCCCTATTTGTTTCTACAAGTACCCACAAGTAAAAAGGAGTGTGAACAATTTAGGGCATATGTAGCAATTTAACATATGGTTGACCAACTTTTCAAAATCAGTAAGGCTCTCAATTAGGCATCAGAACCGGAGACTATACTAAACAATGGACAACACACTCTTAAGGGCCAAATTTGGAGCATGTTATCTTAGTGCTCTTTACAGTCTGATCCAAATCATTAATCCTAAGAATTTAAGAATCTGACATTTAATACTTCCTCCAAAAATGCTCCTACAATATATGAAACTCTCACTTTAGGGAGCTGCAATGACTTTTCCAGTACTCTTACTCCACTGGCATTACAAGTTACACACCCTCAGTATCAAGCCAATTTCATAAATAACAGAATTGCTCCTGTGGCACAAGGCTTTTTTTTTTTTTGTCTTGTAAAGAACAGGTAGGAGATTTTAATTGTCACAGACTCTAACTTATGAGATTGAAGTTGTCTCTAGAATTAGAAATCACTCCAATTTTCTTCCAGAATACCACATACCACCCACAACGTAACACTGTCTCAGTCTCTCCTAAAAGTTTCTCTTTTAGAGAAGTGTCTTGATGTACTTATCAACCTTTTCCACATTTTTCAAACAGCTCTTTGCATAAAGACCATACTGTTACATCTCATTCCAAAAGTTCCTTTTAAGTACCTTTCTATTAAGGTTTATCTTAATATATCAGTAATGGTATCCAGAAGACCATAAATACTTTCTTCCCTATATCATACATGTATTTTTTCTCCTTACCAGGTCACAAAGATAGCTATTCAATATTAATCTCTTTTTTTACCTCCTTTCTTTCTGCTCCAGCAGCATGTTTTCTTTGTTTGAAAAGCGCCTCATTACCAAAAGTCTTCCTCAAAACATACTAAAGTGTAAACTTGATGGTGTTCATCTGTTGGTCCCTATATCACTATCCAAGAGAAGACATTTCAGGCAATACGTGTAGGATTAATCCTTCTGCTCCTAAAAGGAAAATCAAGGAAGTGATATCTTCTAGATTCTCACCACCTCAGTCTTTCCACAAACATTCACTTATTCTTTGTCAGTTCCTGCTCCTTAGTGACAAAATTCCAAAATCTTTCTGACAAAGTTTGAATATGCCTACCTCCAATAACCAGCCGGTTATCCATGCACAGCCTTCATCTCCTGCATATTTTGCTCCTACAGGTATTTTCAGTCTCATCTTTTTCCTTTGCTCTAGTTTGCTTCTCCATAAGACTCATCTCTTGGGCTTAGTCATCCTTTAATTTTAGTCATGGACTGAGCTCTAGACATGCAACTAAGTATAGCTGTAGAGGTGTATTGCTATTAAAACTATTCAGCTGTCTTGATGCTCTTCAGTGTTGAACAAACTCTATTAAGGATGGTTTTGTTTTAAGTCACTGAAGTGCAGAGGATAAAATAACTTATTTTCAGTGTCATACTTTTCAGTAGTTCAGGTAACTTCACACTGGGGAAAGGATATATGGCACACACTGTTTCATACACTGTTAATTTAAAAAAAAAAAAAGCATTTAATCAGGAAATATTCTATCCTTTCTGGGAAGGCATCTGGCTTCCAGTCCTTTTTGTGGTAAAATAATAATAATCTCTTTCACAATGACCAAAACACAGATTTCTTTCTTACTCTTCAGTTCCTTCCTGACCTATTTTGAACTTGTGTGAGAAGTATTCCAGGAATGGCTTTCTTGTAAAATGGCATTCTTATTTGACATAGTATTAGTTGAATGAGTGAAAGAAATTAACTACTTGGGTATCTTTTTTGCTCCCTGAAAGCAGGATACGTTGCTTTTACAGT